GCCTAAAAAAATAAAAATACAGTAGACAGAGAGAAAAGGTCTAATGAAGTAAGTGAAGGAAATCATTTTGGGAAAAGGGTGCAAAAAAATGAAATTGAAAAAAACCCAAACTAATGAACAAGACAAATTGAAGGTGAGAAAAGGAGGGGGGAGTCTACTTGTCTACGAGGGAATAAAGAGAAGAATTATATAACTGGGTAACAGGAAATTATACAACAAAAAAGAAAAAGCAACTAAGGAACTAACAAGCAAAAACTCAAAGGGAACAAATTAACAAATGAGAGGAGAGGAGCAAAGATGAGAGAAAGGAAACTTGTAGAAACAGAGACACCTTAAAAGAGGGAAAGTAACTAAAGGAACACAGTATCATATTTATAGAAGCGGAGGGAAAATTATTACTTTGGCTGGGCGGACAGATGGAGGAAAATATAAACCTCTCATAACTTTAAATGTGAATGAATTAAACAATCTAATAAAATGAAAAAGTGTGACAGATTAAACAAAACCCTACAGGAAACATTAAAAAAAAAAGATATACACAAAATAAAACTAACAGAATGAAAGAACAATCCAAATTATTAAGAGAAATGTAAATTAAAACAATCCTGATAGCCTGTAAACTCAAAAAAAATGCTCAAAAAATGGCAATAGTCAATGTTGGAGGAGTTGTAGAATAAAAGGCACATTAACACATTGTTGGTGGAGCTGTGAAGTGGTACAACCATTCTGGAAAAGAATGGTAAATTTATGCCCCAAGGAAGCCATTGATAAGAAGAAAGTCCCCATATATTCTGAAGTAGTTATAGCAACACCTTTTGTGATGGTTAAGAATTGTAAACAAAGTAGATGCCCATCAATTGGAGAATGAATAAACATATTGTAGTACATGAAAGTAAAAGAAGATTTAAGAATAGTACTTCAGGAAATGATGAAAGTGTTGAATACAGAGAAGCTTCGAAAGATCTACATAAACTGGTATAAAATCAAGAAAACGATGAATAGAAAACAATGTATATGGGACAAACCACTACACACTAAAAAAAAAAGTAAATAAATGTAACAAAATTATAAAGATCAATCTGGACTCATATGAAGAGACTGGAGTGGATACCACCAACCCAACCCACTTCTTCATGGAGCTGGGAAGTCCTCAAGTTTTACATATTGCACATTTCAAGGCTTTGTTAATGTACTGATCAGTTGTGTTGATTTTTTTTTCCTCTCTAAAAATACTTTTATATGGCTCTCTGAGAGGAGAAGGGGATACTTGGGATAAATAACTACGATGATGCAACAATCAGAAGACAGTAATAAAAACTTATTTTTTAAAAGAATGCTGAGAAGTTGTTAGAAAAGTTGTACCAGTGAGTCACAATGGGCAAAATGAGGTAGGGAAAGGCATGTGGCCAGGAAAAGCACTGAATGGGGTAGGAATACTAAGTTAGCAAAAAACGATATACTCTGGGACCTGAAGCAAGATTCCAGCTGTGGACTGTCAGGACAGAAGCCAGAAGCCAAAAGGCAATGTGCAGGGAGAGACAGAGTCCTATTAGGAGACAGGGACAACTCAGCAACAGAGAGGTCATGCATTTGCCCTGAGGAGAAGGACAGTGTGATCTCCAATACCCCATAAGCATCTATCAGGACAGCTGAGCGTAGAAAACACTCCAAAATGGGAAATGAACACAGTGAAAAAATACTACGGGTTAAAAGAAACCTAAGACGCAAACCAAGAAAAGAAAGCAGCGCTACACCTATAAACAGAGCCCCAGAGGAAAAAAATGATCTACAAGTGTCTGTAAGAAATTAAATTAAAATAACAAAATTAGAAATAAATTAAAATAAAAGTCAGGAAGAAAAAATTGAAAGGAGAATAGTTTAGAAGAGATGGAAAACTTTACCCAAATAGTATACCTTCCTGGAAAAGAGTAAACAGAACTCAATTCTATGAAATAACAATATTAGAAAAAAGACAACAAGAAAAAAATTAAACATAAGTTATCTATAATCAAAAACAAATTATCCAGAAAAGGTTCAAATGAAAAATTCCTAAAAATGACCAGACAAAAAAATCTGGACACTAAATTTCAAGAAATAATAATTAGCCTGAGGGCAGAAAAGGACATAAGGAGGAAATTTATGAGCCAGGCACTTAAACTCACTGAGAAAAGAAGGGAGGTGAAACTGAAGGTCAGAATACAACAACTACAGAATTCTGACTGGGTAGTAGATATGTATTGACTAAACTGCAAAAGGAAGAAAAGTTATTGAGTGATGGAGATAAGGGAGAAGGGTAAGGAAATATTTCACAGTGAAACCAGGGCTGGAAAGGGTGGCCAAGTAGCCAGATTTCAATGAGAGCCAGAAGATGAAAGGATTGGGAAAGGAAATTTATTAGAAATTATATTGTCAGGGGCAGCTAGGTGGCGCAGTGGATAGAGCACCGGCCCTGAAGTCAGGAGGACCTGAGTTCAAATCCGGCCTCAGACCAAACACTTGACACTTACTAGCTGTGTGACCCTGGGCAAGTCACTTAATCCCAATTGCTTAAAAAAAAAAATTTTTTTTTAAAAAAAGAAAGAAATTATATTGTCCAGTTATATAGCAACAAAACTTATAACAGTCATTTATTAGCTCTATGACCCTGGGGAAGCAAGATGCTTGCCCTCTACATAGCTCAGTTTCCTTATCTCTAAAATGAGGATAATAACAGGTACCTAAGTTCTAGAGTTGTTGTGAGGATAAAATTAGATTATATTTGTAAAGCTCTTTCTATACTTTACAACATGTAAATGACACCTCTTATTAATGCTATTATTATTATAACTTAAATGAAATGAAAATTTACAAAAACATGAAAGACCACAATTGACAGAATAAGACCTTAACCCAATTTCAGAAAAAGAAATTTTATAAATCAAAATACTCTCCCACTTGGGGGAAAAAATGTCAGATCATATGGTTTTACAAGCAAATTCTCTATAAGGTTCTATATAAAATCCAAAGAACAATTAGTTCCAATACTGAAAAAATTATTTGCAAAAAAATAAAAAGAGGGCTTAACAAATTCGTTCTAAGGGACAAAAAAGCTGGTCCAGACACCTAAATTGCCTTAGCCATGCACAAATATGGATATACCCTTGATCAAGTTATTCACGTGGAGGGATTTACTTGAATAACCAATGTTGAAATTCCTTTATCCAATCACTATCATTCCACCTCTCTGTATGCCTTACTCCTCCCAAAATTATTTTTTCCCTCCTCACCCCAACCTACAATCTCTCATCTCCAAGGATTTTATCAGGCTATTACAGCTTTGACTATACTCTCCTTCCATTCTAATCTCTGATCTCTGATGAACCTTCTCCTCTAGATTACTTAGCACCTTTGCTTTATCACTGCTCACACCTTTCCAAATACCTACCCGGACTACTCATACCATCTGCTTCCTTCCCTGATGCTCATATACTGCTTAACAGAGATGGAGAATTTTCTGAAATAGCGGCAATCTTAAGTGGGCACTCACTACACCAAGGCAATCCTTCTCCTCCCTAATTAATTCCTAAATCCTCCTCCCTATGGGACCTTTATTACCAATCTCTTCTCTCCTTAAACCTTCCCTCAGAATTTTCTCCACCACAACTCCCATCCAAGAGGACCTGACTTCATATTTTACACTCCCAACATCCAAATATTATTTTGCTGGGAGTTACCTCTTCTTATTTGACAATTCCCTCTTCTCATAGCAGCTTGACTTTATCCCCAGCCATTTCCTTCATTTCTCAAGTCTCTTTCTTACCAAAGTCACCACCCTTCTATTTTTACCCTTGGTCCCATCCCCAGTCTCTTTCTCAAGCAGATTCCTTCCCTCTTCTTTCACCTTCAGTCTTTCCCTATTTACTTGTTTCCTAGCTACCTATTAACACATCTCAGTTTTCCTCTTTCTTAAAAAACGACTCCCTAGATCCTATCATCCCTTATAACTATCAAACTGCATCCAACATCACATTCTCAGCCAAACTCCTTTAAAAAAAGTTTTCTAGTCTAGATTCATTGCCTCTACTTCTGCTCCTCAAACTCTCTTAACCTCAATCAATCTGGTTTTCCCTTGTGAAGTAATAAAACAAGAAAAAGAAATTGAGGGTGGAAACACAGCCAAAGAGCAAAAATAGTTACCACTTTCTATAGATGCTGTGATTATTTATTTGGAGAATTCTAAAGAGTCAACAAAATTAACTAAAATAATTAACAACTGGTAAAGTAGCTGGATATAAAGTAAACCCACAAAAATCAGCTTTTCTTTTAACTAAAAAAAAACTGAGGAGGTAGAAAAAAAATTTCATTCTAAGTAACTATAGAATGTATAAAATATCTGGGAATCCACTTACTAAGATGTACACAGGAATTATATAAATACAACTACAAAAATACATAAAAGATGACTAAAACAATGACGAGATTTTAACTGCTCGTGGTAGGGTACTGTCAATATAAAAAATAGCAATGCCACCTAAATTTACACACTTAATCTGTAAATGGTCAACTACCAAAGAATTTCTTTATACAATGAAATATACTGATTTGGAGTAACAAAAATTCAGGAATCTCAAGGCAAACTACGGAAAAAATGTAGGCCAGAAGTGGGTCCAGTGGTACTGTATTTCAAATTATAATACAAAGAAGTAATCATGAACATTATCTTGTTCTGTTTTAAAAAAAAATAGTACTCCTACTCCCTACGGTACTTGAAAGAAAAGATTTGATGACCACTTATTGGAGTATTGTAGAAAGGATTCTTGTTTAGGTACAGAGTGGACTTCATATATGGCTTCAAAGTTTTCTTAAAATTGGAGTTTCTATGACTCTATAACAAGATTCTGGCTCTTTCTTTACCTCTTCATTCACTGTTACAACTCTTCTGACCTCTGATATTTTATGATATAAAATTATACATGTATACTAAAGCATGTATTTTATATTACTTTATATTTTCTACTTACCTAGTATCTTCACAGCATAATGAGGACTCTCCAAGACAACTCCTTCCTCAGTATCAAATATAGGATTATCTATTCCAATTTTGGGAGGAATTTGTGCTAGTTTCTTAAGTCTCATGGAAGAATTAAGGTCCAGTTCTTGTTTTTTTCCTTCTTCTTCTCTCCTACGCCTCATGTCCTCTTGCTGTTGGCGAATTCGTTCCAGTTGTGTACTTCGACGTACTGGCATCATTCTTGTTCCCAAATCCCCAGGACAATCAACCGCCATCTCTCGATGTCTTTGAGGCTCTTCTGGAGATGTCAGATCAACATTTTTTACTTCAATGTCTGATTCATCTGTAACATGCCCATTCATATGGAAAGTTGTCATGGTTATTTATTAAAAATATGTACCGCCTTTTTTATATATCAAACCAATTATCTTGATTCTGCCATATAAAATTCATTTTTATTCCCGAAGAAACTTCTTGAAACAGAAACTTCATGATCGTACTATGAGACTCTCTCCATGAAGGAAATCTAAGAAATGATGAAAAGTATAAATCAGAATTTGCAACAGAATGGCAAATTTTATATATTGCTGAGTCTACTAGTCTTCACAGCAATTTATAGTTGGTCAAAATCTTCATTTGGATTTACAAATTATGATACATAAAACTAATTTTAATTAAAATAGCTTCTACTAGAGGTTAAAATAAGGGGCTCCAATGATAAAGGACATCAGATTAAACAAAATGTAATTTGAATGGAATTTAAAGATAAAGATCATACCCACAGGCTCAGGAAATGAATTATAAAGAATTTGCCCACAAGGATATGGCAGTAGCAAACCCACAAACCTGGTATACCATATTTTCAAGATATTTCTCTATAAAAATACTCTGGATTTTTTATGTGCTAGTTTTTCTTATTAGGTCAAGAACTAAATTGCTACAAATAGGTTTTTATCAATAGCTGCTGCTATTTACAAAAGATAAAACTACATTTGTCTTTCCTCAGGAGACTACATGGGATAATTCCAATAGAGAAAAGTAAAACTGGATGGCTCACAGTAATTAGAATAACAATTTTATTTGGCTAGAAATCAAAGAGCTTTGGATGCTCTTAAGTCTAGATCTACTGTAGTCCTTTTCCCAAGGATCCTCCATTGGTACCCATGCCAAGTACTTCAGGGTCTTCCCAAAATAATTCACCAAATAAAATACTCAAGAGTAAATCACTTAACTCTGATCCACCACCAAGTGAAGAGTAAATAAAGTGAATTTTTTTTTGTATGTGGCAGACACCGTTTATCTTCAGAATAGAAGCATTACTATTTGTTCTCATTACTATATCTGAATAGATAGCACCCATGGGATCTATAAGATTCATGCTACAGAAACTAAGTATTGTGATGATTTTTAAATTTACTTATATTATTAATCTCTTCTTCCTAGTTTAGATTTTATGAATGCCTTTTTTTAACATCACAATTCATTTCTGAATATACTCTCCTCACTCCCCAACCATCAAAACCTCCCTTGTTTTCTAAAGATTTCTAAAAACAAACAAAAAACCCAATTCAGCAAAACTAATCAACACGCAGGTATACAACAACATTTCAATATTTCACACACATAGAGAGACTCCCCCTCCATCCTCTTTCAAGAAGAGGAAGTACATTTTCTCATCTCTTCTCTAGTGCCTGGCATGTCACTAACATAACACAGTCATTAATTCATTTTACTCTTTTCCCATTTACACTGCAGCAGTCATTGTATGTATATTTTTGATGGCTCTGCTTACTTTACCTAGCTTCAATTCATTTAATAAGGCTCTTCATATTTCTTTGAATTCCTCAAATTCATCATTTGTTCCTGAGCTGGGCCAGGCTTACACATGCACTGAAGTCAGACAGGAGAAGCCCCTCTGATGCAAATAAACTTTGGAAAGGGAATGAAGCCCCTGGGCTGTGGGCATAGCTGGAAATTCAAGCCAAATATGAAGTTATGATACTACTGCACAGTAGACCCTACAATGAAGGCAGGTAGAAAATAAAGGTTTCTATATTTCATGTATAATGAGGGGCAAGGCCCTAGCAACTTTGTCCCTGGCATCTCCACTATTATATAAAAGGCACCTCTCCCTCACCCCCACCAGACCTAAAGTTATCATTTGAGCTTTTCGATAGAGATAAAAGGAAATTACGGTACTCAACTGAACCAGAATCACATCAACATGCAAACTTGCCTGTGTTTTGCCAACTACAGCCTTAAAATTCAAAAAAATTCACTTTTTAACCTTTGTTTTATCAAAACAATCATTACACCAGCGGTCAGGCATTTAAGCACTCCCTCTCTCCAATGTCCTCCAAACTCCCCAATGGTTTTTTTTTATATTTTTAAGTAAAGTATTGTACTTAAAGAGATAAAACTATTCTTCGTTCACTAGCCATATAACAAATATAAGACTACAGTTTGCTGACTGCATATATACAGTTTACTGATCCGTAAATCTATGCCATTTGTTATCTGGGCCTAAGAGAGCTATTCCAATCACTTGGGATTATGTGGCATTACCAAAAAAGGAGAAGAATAATTTTCTGATTCAAGTGACATAAGGGAGAAAGCAAAAACTTGACCCCTTGCCTTCAGGGATGATCAGATGCCATAGTTCACATCATCTGGAAGCCCAACAGCAACAGCAGTGCTGGGAAAAATCCCATCTGTGAGCCAGTAAGATTAAGTGCCCAACAGATGCAATTACAGGGAGAGGGATGGATATACAACTCCACAGATAACCATACAGATGTCACTACACTGGAAGGGGGGGAGGGGAAGAACAATATTAAAAATGGTGTTTATACAGTACTTTTAAAGGTGTGCAAAGCTCTGTCTCACCTCATTTGATCCTCAACAATTTAATGAGGTAGGTGTTTTTATTAACCCCATTTTAGAGATGAGGGCACTGAGGCTGACAGAGGTATCTTGTCAGAACCTTACCTGTCTGGGTTCGTGCAGCTAGTAAATGTCTTAAGAAGGATTTGAACTCAGCTCTTCCTGACTTCAAATCCAACACTCTATCCCTTGTGCCATCTAGCTGCCTCAAAAAAAGGTTCAGAAGCCCAAAGAAAAACAGAAAAACCTTAAATGTTTTCTTCTCCAAAACAAAGGAAAAAACTCTACCAAATTCATTTTGACAAAAATATTAATGCTGACTAAAAAGTTTTAATATAAGTATTTTTTTTTTTGGCTAGGCAATGGGGTTAAGTGACCTACCCAGGGTCACACAGCTAGTGAGTGTTATGTGTCTGAGCCTGGCTTTGAACTCAGGTCCATCCTGAATCCAGGGCTGGCACTCTATCCACTGCACCACTTAGCTGACCCAATATAAGTATTCTTAATAAAGACTACATAGTCTAAGTCTTTAAAAAAAAAAAAAAAAAAAAAAAAAAAGAAATAAAGGACAGCTAGGTGGCGCAGTGATAGAGCTCTGGGCCTTGGAGTCAGGAGGACCTGAGTTCAAATATGACTTCAGACACTTGACACTTACTAGCTGTGTGACCCTGGGCAAGTCACTTAACCCCACTGCCTAACCAAAAAGGAAAAAAAAATACTGTCTTCTCTGAGAACTGAAGATGCATAAGATAGTATATGCATGATCATGATATCGTATAAAGCACACATTTTTCATTGCTAGGCTGCTAAGCAACAAACTTTTAAATTTTTTAAGCATCACCTTAGCAGGTGACTGACATTTGGATAAAGTGGTACTGATGAGACAAAACTAAAAGCTAGCTCAGAATTATTCTCAATGGGAAGCTAAGTGTTATAATACTCCTAATTACGATCAGCATCTTAAAAAAATGCATGCCTTTAGTTATGATGGGTACTGAGCAAAAGGACATGGGCTTATCATAATACATCCCTACTACTGGGAAAAAACAACTTGAATGTACTGCTGATGTGGTAATATATTCTAGTTTAGGAATGGGGAACCTGTAGCCTTGAGGTCACATGTGGCCCTCTAGGTCTTCAAGTGTGGCGTTTTGACTGAACCCAAACTTCACAGAACAAATCTGGGTTCAATCAAAGTGCTGCATCTGAGGACCTAAAGGGCCAACAGGTTCCCTACAACTGTTCTAGTTCACTCAAACTCTATACAAATTGAGCTGTACCCTTCAGTAAAAGGAACTATTCATATAGATCCTAATATAGGTGATAGTATAAATTAACATATTTTGACTAATTTTCTTTAAAATAAGCTGATACCAGATTTATGGAGGCAAGTGCTAGAACTTTACATGATACTAAGCAAATAGCAGTACTAAATAACTAAAATTCCAAGTCAGCACAAATTTGTGTAGGAGTTCTAGTAATTTTCTATGCTTAAGTCTGAGGGAGAAAACAAGGGAATGCATGATATACATACTCCTAGAAAATTAAAACTGTCAACTCTCAAATTTGATTCTGCAATACCCCAAGGAGATTTTAACATTTTAACATATTCCCAAAGGTCTCAAAAATCAAATTTAAACTTATTTTAATTGAGGAAGTAAATAAGACAAATTCTAAATGTTGTAGGAAATAAAAGGCAAATTTAGTCAGAATCTCAAATTAGCCTGAGTTTCCAGTCATGGAATCTATTTTATATGCTAATGAAAGCAGGCTAATTATTGAAAATTAAACTAAAGCTCTTATTTATCTAGAATCCAGTAAGTGAATGTTAATAATAATAAGACACATACTTGAAAGATCCTGAAATACTTCCTCAACCCCCTACGAAACGTTATATTCAATAGTTTTAAGAGTAAGTCTATTTGGGACAGCTAGGTAACGTAGTGGATAGAGCATCAGCCCTGAAGTCAGGAGGACTTGAGTTCAAATCCAACCTCAGACCAAACACTTGACACTCACTAGCTGTGTGACCTTGGGCAAGTCACTTAACCCCAACTGCCTAAAAATAAAAAAAAATACAAAATAAAAAGAGTAAGTCTATTTTATTATACTTCTTTTAAAATTACCAAACCAAATATGGTATATAGGAAATACCTGACTTAAAATCAAAATACAGCTGGGGAATTTTAATCCAGACTACCCAATTATCCTTTATTCTCCAATTCATTCTACCTGAGTGAAAATTACCTTATTTTATATAAATGTAAATTGACACCATTCAGATTAAAGAGTTACTCCATCCTCTTCTCAAGAGAAGAGCCCCTTGACTGTTGGCTCCACAAACCCCATCCATCTTACCTTGCTTATTCAACTACCCCTAGTACTGCTGGACGTGAGGGATAAGAATATTCCTGTTGTCAAGCTGAACCTTCCCATAACGAGGGTTAAACGGACTTTTGTGGACTGACCTTGGACGCCCACCTGACATTTACAACATTGTTTCTATGGAAAAAAATTGTGTTGTTACATGGAAACAAATATAACTCACTATAAGGAAGAGACTCTTAATTAGAATTGTATGACAATGGAACAGGCTGTCATGAAAGAACCTAGTGAGGTCCCTGTCAACTGAAATGTTCTGAT